CATATGTTTTTCGTTCGTCTTTGCCTAGCTTTGCACATCATGCCATACAGCCAAGCAACGGCTTTCTCTTCTCTTTTCCTCTAATTATCAGTACAATAGGTTCCTTCAACAGAAAATCTGTTTAATGCACCTATCAATGTAAAAAGGCGAGGGGGGGGAGGCAGGGCATGGGGTGGGGACTTGATCGTCTTTGTTGGCCCTGGGGTAGGGCATTTCACTGATCTTGTTCTCCCTGGGGAGGAGATATTTGAATCTTTCTTTGCCCGACGTGGAGATATTTGACTGCCCACTCGGACGAAAAAGACTGAGACCGAACATATGTTTCCCGCTTCCACGCTTCACGCATGCGCCGTACGGTTTGAAAAGATCAGGAAGTCATAAGGCTGAGTGGATTTCACTGTTTTGTCTTCAAATTTCGTTTGTTTTACTGTGTTTTTGATCAATTGAACCTCTTAAAATACTGTGGTATCAAAGCAGACGGAAGTAAAGACAAACCAAGTCGATTTAATTTTTGCAAGTACAATTGATTAGTGTATGGTTCATTCGCTACAATAACTGTAAACTTACAAAACTAACTTTCTTTGTACCTTTTACTAAGAACGGTATATTTAAACTTACAAAATGTGGACTTTCTCCTAAAGGTTTATGTATTCTACGCAGTGTAACACGGATTATGGTTAAAACGTATAATTGCAGCTGTAAAAGGAACATGTATCTTTGGTGATGCAGCAACGTTTATAAAAGATTGCAGAGTTTTATTTGGAGGTATTTTTATTGTACCTTTCTTGGGTTCTGCCTTGGGATTGACATCAATGTGCAGCCTGGGGTGGGGAAATTTGGTTGCATTTGACTGGAATGATTTGCTCGTGGGCAGGGAATTTGATTGCAAATTTCTGAAAAAAGTCAAATCCCCACCCCATGCCCTGCCTCCCCTCCCGCCGGCATTACATTGATAGGTGCATAACGGACACGGAACACCATGGACGAGTGTAAATTCGATTGCTAGCGTGCGATTGTTAGAAATTTACCATGTGGAATTTTTACCTTGACTAAATAAAGTGAGCCAGTGTCTGCAGCCCCCATCTTTACAGGCAGAATTAGAGCATTGCTTATGCTAGCCTGCGAAAACATCCGTTTCTCCTCGCTCTTCGCCGCTGGAGACGTTTCGCGCGGAGGAACGCCTGCGACTCAGCGACAGAAATTTCCATACTGATGAGGCATATCAATGTTTACTTAATAAATCCGGTAGTCATGGGGTTCCAACCCAGGGGCCCCACTCACATATTTTAATGACGGGAGGGTCCGACAGAGGTTCATATTTTATACCCCAAAAAATCCCAACTTCAGAATTTGTCTACCCCAAAAAATCCCTACTTTTTTTAGCATACCCAAAAAAATCCCTCAGTGTTTTTGCATCAGCAAATTTTATTATTTATCTTCTGAAATAACTGAGTCAGCGACACATCTTTGTATGGGTTCATAAACCACTTTGGCAAGCTTGATGTTATGTTACTAATATTTTCAACAGAACTTCTTCATACAACAAAAATGGGATCACAACTGACTGGACCTCTTAGCTCTTGCGGAACTCAACAGTTATGACTCCCGGTTTGAGTTTAGTTTGCAAAATCAGTTTTCCTTGCCTTTATTTTTACATAGCAACGTGATCATTTGATAATAGATATATGTCAGCGGGTAAACATCTAATTCATAAAATGTTTACTTTGTATACAGTGTTTCCATTGTGGTCTTGATGACTGGCTTGAAAGGCCTAGAATTACGTGACGTTTGAATATTTCTCTCTGGATTAGACGCGCGTGGAGTGGCGGTAATTACTTTTCAAATAGATTACAATCTCAGAAATATCCCGTGTACCACACAAGCAGTAAATTGCGCTTATGTTATTGTTGATTTGAGCTGATGAAAAATACAATACCCAAAAAAATCCCTGCGTCTTTCATAGGCCCAAAATAATCCCTTTTGGCCAAAATGTCAGACCCAAAAAAATCCTTCGGACCCCCCCGTCATTAAAATATGAGAGTGGGGCCCCTAGGGGTTCCAAATGTAAATTTATTCAATTTTACGTTTCTCCTGGTCGATTTTGGTAAAGTGTTGTGTTCATCTGTGAACGAGCTCCAGCAAAACTCAAATGCTTGTTCTAGAGAAGACTAAATTTCAAAAATATTGACAGTTTTGTTAGAGATTCATCGCGTTTACATTTGACCTTTGTGGCCTTTTGTCTTTTGTCTGTCATTCGTAAACAATAGCTAAAACAATGTAACTGCTCCTTGACCAATCAGGGCTTCTGATCGGATTCAGGACATATTTTACGTCATCAGTATGGAATTTCTGTCGCTGACTCGCAGACATTCCTCCGCGCGTAACGTCCCCAGCGGCTAAGAGCGTGGAGAAACGGATGTTTTGCAGGCTATGCTTATGCGCAATGCCTTACCCCCTGTCCAGTTGATTGCTCGGTTTGCTCGGCTGGCCAGGCGAGCAATGGTTGATACACGACAATTTCCAAACCCTGTTTGTAGGGATCCTGGCATCACAACACCAGGATCCCATCTAAACAGGATGGCTTGGTAGTCATGTAATTACGAAGACGATCTTTTTTGCGTTTAAATAAAATTCCAAGGTCTCAGCAAATCAAGCCAGCCCAGAAAATCGGTCCATGTGGGCTCATGTCATCAGGCCCATAGACAATTTTTGAACTACGTAACAGGCCATTCCCGGGTTTGCCCGAGCCTCTGTTTTAAAGCGAAGCTAACGGTAAAGCCATTGATATGAAAATGCCTTTTTTATTCTCATGCAAATAAAACTCATTATCACAAGAAAGGTTTTGCACTTGGCCTCGTTTTGAAAGTAAGGCTTTTTGGAATTCGGAAATGGCTTAATATTTTGCAACAAGGAGCTTACTACCGGCGTACTTATTTCTTTATTAGCCATTGTTCGACATTTATCAGCTGAAAGACTACAATTACTACGAAAATCAATAACGTCAACAGCATGAAATTTTTAAGCCGAAAACGCAAACGCCTTTCTCCCGAAATGTCCCAATGGCAGGGCTGAAAGCGATGATAGTTGGCTGCATTCCCGGGCAACGTTTACTCACAAGGTGCATAATAAAATACAACGTAAAAAGTATTTGCAGTCAAAAAACATTAACCACATCAATACTGAATATAATATGTATCTCGTACGGAGTATTGTATTAACTACATACTTTTTTCCTTATCACTAATACCAACAGGTTCAGTAAAAAGCAAAAAAAAAAAAAAAAATCATGATCTTTTTCCCTCTGTTATACATTTCTTGGGAGCAGAACTTTGGCCTTCCTGGAGAGCACTAGAGAGAGACGTAATTGTTAGGTTAGTGCCCAAGACAAAATCAATGTTAACACTTGGCCCAGGGAACTGGGCCGATTTAACTTTCCCAAAGACTTCTGGGACTGTTACTAGACTGTTACCAATAGCTGATCGGCGCGGTTCCAGTAACGATCCCAGAAAGCATTGCGGGACTCATTTCGGTTCCAGTTCCCTTCTCGTTTTAAAGTAGCGAATTGAGACAGATGGAAACGGGCGGATAGGTGTTACATTTTGACTTCAGTTAGTTCCAAACGTGCATCATGTTGTTGGCAAAACAAAAACAAAACAAGAACAGACTACCTGATAAGACGACCATAGAATTATCAAAACAATTAAACATAATATCTACCATTGACTTGGCATCTGCTCGTTGACGGTTGCCCTGTCTCCTGCGACGCAAACATGGCCTGACATTTGGTTAAAGGTTTGATGCAGGTGATATTCTGAGAAAAGATAAATAACAAGAAAAAATAAGTTCCGCTGTGCCCGCTGTGACATGAGCCATCAGTGCCCTTGGCTCCATGGACACCTATAATCATACTAGTAATAGTTGACACTATAGCTGCCCCCGCTCTGTATATTGTCGGTCAATAGTATTCTTGCTTGTTGCGTAACTCTTTGAAATATACCGATTCATAATGAAGATTTTCACAGATGTTCCATACGATAGGTGAGATAAATACAGGAAACACAAGGTTCCATGCACAGTTTCAGTTCGATTTACACAGCTTTGATCAAAACATTCTCAGTTTCGAGAATAGTTTATTCTAAACCATAAGAAAAGACTTAATTAGAAGTTGAATTTTTCGCTATTTCTCTTTCACTTTCTACATTCAGTTCATTTTATTTGAAGGAAAATAAGCCTTAGAAATTAAAAGGACGTTTGATCAATTCACCTCTCACATTCTAGTCTTATTTTAAACTTTAAAGCGGAAGGACATCTGTGATCGGGGAATAAGTCGGCACAGAATTTGATTGTCACCGAATTTCTGTAATCGTCCATCGTTCTGCTAGTGATAAGCTAGCCGTTGTTCACTCGTCTTGCTTGTTTGGAGTTGAGTCTTATTCCGGTCAAAGAGAGAGGAAGAGTGTCTGGCAAGGTTTCCAATCAAAGGTTTGTGAACTCGTGTCTGGAAAAACTCTCCAAGTGTTCATATATACACAGTTATACGCACTTTATAACTTCATCTGCGCTTAACGAGTGCCTTTTGGTCCATAACTTTCAAAACAACTCTATAGTGATCCTGACCATTCTGTGACGGAGGAATGAATCACGATTTTCTGAAACTACACATTGTTGTATCCATAATGGTCTAATGTTATAAGATTCTGCCTTATTTGTTAAGTTGAATTAGTTCTTGTATGTTATGTGCTTTATTGCTACTGTTTCTTTTACGAGGGCGTTGATTGTATTAACTGTAAAAAATACGCAGGAAGAAAATACACTGTTACCGAATTTTTCACACTGTATTTGCCCATGCTTCTGAAGCTGATCAAAGCTAGCCAATGGAAATGGTTCATCAGCGGAAGCCAATGACAGAGCGCTAAAACTTTCAGGCATCTGTGAATCGTTCACACCTACAAAATTCATAATAATTTATGAATAATTATTGTTATAGTAAGAAAAATTGATCAAAACGGGTAAAATCTTATTGATGCATAAACAGTAGGTAAAGTCATTGATGTAATGCAGTCAAATAACTGACTCTTACCAACAAGGTGAACTTCTGGTATGCATGTTCCACCAGCTGACGAATCGGCCAACGTAAGGAAGTCCTTGCTGTCGAGGGACACTGCCTCAGACCCCCATTTGTACACCAGGCGGAGGCTTACAACCGTTTGTTCCGTGTCGACAGTGCGTATTTTCAGGTGGGACTTGCTTACTTCTTGTCTCGTTTCCACGAGATCTGTACCCAGCTTTTTCTTGAGGTCGTCTAGAGATTCCAATAGTTTCTGCTTCTTTGTCGAACAAAGACACACTCGAAGAATGTCCGATGCTTGCTCTTCCAGCTTTATTGCAGCTACGTCGACGAAATGGACCATGCATCTATTTAAAACTTCCTCACCGGAAGGATTAATTACGATGACTGATTGGAGTGCTCCTCTCTTGCTAATTTGTCCATCGATGTGTACACAAGCAACGACGCAAAGCTGTAGTTCATCTCCAAGATTTTTCTTCAAATGAAAACTCTGAGAAAATGTGTCCAGTGAGCTATCGTATTCAACACTCTCACTGTGAAGAGTCATGGCAACATTTGTTGAGTTAATGAGTTCAAATTTCACCAGTTTTGACGGATCAAACTTTGCGAAGTTTACGAGACTCAGTGAAACGTTGCAAAAATCTCGTAAGATGACTGACAGGGTTGTCACTAAGGGCCGGGGGCCGGGGATTTCCCCCGGCTACTTTAGTAGTTAAATTAAACCAAAAGAGCACACCTTTGAAACACACAAAGACTATCCATCAAACTAAATGCAAGTTTCGTCTGCAGCAGGTTTAAGTAATTTTGAAATACTTGCGTGCAAAAACTAAGAAATGTCGGAAAAAGACATCTGACTTAGATTTGGTACTAGTACACACGCGCGAAAACTCTCCGTTCGCGAAATGTCAGTAGGGAGTTTTAGCAACGACTACGGCGACGGCAACGAGAACGTCAAAAAAGCAATAGGTTTATTGAGCAAAACAACTAGTTTGCGCTAACGTGCATTACGCTTTTTTGTACATTTCTTTGCCGTTACTGCACGACTATGACGTGAAAATGCCTAGTTTCACGTTTGATAGAGGACGTAAAACAAGCGACGACAAACTTTTCTTTCTCTTTCTAAACTTGAGTGCGGTTCCAAAGAAATCAACTCCAGGGAAATTGGCCTACATTAGCTATTTTCAGCGAACTGAAATTAAGCGACAAAGTTGGAAAAATGCCAATTCATTTTAGAAGTGATGTTTTCACTGCCGTCACCTTTGTTGATGCTAAAAGTCCCTAGTTTCAACCGTTGTGTCGGCTTGTGTTAAACATGTCGAAGAAGTGGCCAAGGAATCTGCACTCTTTGCTCACGATGAAAGACCTGAGCAGATCTCTGTTGACATCACAAGTCGAGGCATCATCCAAGCGTTATGATGCTGATGTTGATGATAATGAGGATTATGATGAAGGCTTTGAAGATGAAGACTATGACTGATTGCCATGTTTAATGTATTGACATTTAAGTGACCGGGTCTACATTTAGCTTTAGGTATCGAGTATATAAAATAACGCACAGTCAACGGGAAATAATTGATCATTGTCCGCAGGTCATGATCACATCCTCTCAGTTCTACTTCCAAGAAGTTATATATAAAAGGGAACTTAAGCATTAGCATTACTTTTGCATTCTTCTCCTTGAGTCTCGTTTTGACATCTCAGCGTCGTTTGTAAAGTATTAGCCCTGTCTTTTGAACGCTTTTCCGTAGGTCAGTATCTTCGTATGTTAAGTGATGTTTCGTTCATAAATTCGAGACCACTAATGTTTACCAGTTGTGCAGTTTAGTTTTGCCATATTTTATCCCGCGATTTTTTGTACGTTACACTTGTTTTAGCCTTATCATACTTTCATTTTTCAACAAACCATAGTAATTTACCTTATGTTTATGATGCTTTTTCGTACATTCATCGTCCGCTTGTCTTCTTTCCGCTTCTCCGTGGGTTAATTCATTTGTAATATTAGTTTTACTTTTGTTTTCCGTAAGTTGTTTCATTCTTACGTAAAACTAAATGAGGATTTACAATTGATTTTACAGCGCGTGTTAATTTATTTGCACCGTATAAGAATCAATTGTCCTTTCCACATTTTTAACATTTGTAAAGTATCGTTGTGATTTAACACTTCACTGGCCAGCATGCGCCTTTTCTGCGTGAAGATAAGACAGCGCAGATAACGTGACCGGTGCCAACCTGTCATTCACCTGTCAGCAGCCACTAAAAAAACCCTCAAACGAGCCTTTACGTAAAGTAAAAACTTATTATGTTAGTGTCTCAGGATGTTGTAGTTTTCTTTAATAAAGACGTGATCATCGTAAAACCGCTAATGACAGCTGTACTCTTGGTGAAGATTGCTTTTTTGGGACGGTAATGCCTTTTGAAAAACGGTAAAAGTTGCACGTCAAAAACTTCTTGGGGGAGGGGAGGGGGAAGGGGCTCCATGACTGCTTGCGACTTCCCTGGCTACTAACAACAAATACCCGGCAACTTGAAATCTTAGTGACAACCCTGTGACTCCATCGGTTATGTCAACTCGCTCGGACACGATGTCTCGTAGGCGTCCAGAAAAGAGTTCTAATCTCTTGTATAACCTCACATCTTGTTTGCAGTGTTTGTAAAAGGGCTTTAATACCTTCAGCATGTGGAGAACTGCCAAGTTTTCACCCCACTTCTTTATTTCTATTGATGGCAGGTCACAATTATTCAGACACAACAGCTCCAAAATTCTGCTTACATCATAAACAGGCTGCCCGACTTTGGTGTTTCTCTTAGCATTTCGAACACTTAAATCAAACTGCTCTATTCTTTCTTTAAGTAGTCCCCTTAAGCCATTTTGTACTTTTGAAACTTCCTCCTCCGCGAATATTTCTTTGGTGATTTGAATGAGGTTAGGAACAACGGCCACAAAAGCCTTGATAGACTCATTTGGTGAAGAGAATATCTCTGGATATCTCTCTTTTATGTCTTCAGGCACAGGTCGATGAATTTCCATATAGTGTACATAGCTGCTGGATGAAGCCGCTCTTTCAACACCTTCCGCAGAAGTTTCCAACTCAATGCAACAGTCCCTTAGTAGTGTGTTGCAAAGGGATTGGATCTGACCGGCAAAATACTTCATTAAATTGGCATCTGTTCGTTGCAAGCCCGAGATCTTAGCTGCATATTCTCTCAAGTGTCTGACATGCATCTGCCCCCGCTGTGTTACGTTGTAAGTTGAACCTAGTAATAGTAAAAAAAAAAGAAATGGAATCACAAAGTCAATTTTCAAAAGGGTACAGCGATGCTCTTATGTCTCATAGTTCTTACAGTTTCTCTTTTCATTAAAAGCCCGTCCTCCGTAGACGCATCTTTTCAAGAACGCCACTTTGCTTTATCCGTGCAAATGGAAAACGGAGGTTTTGAAAAGGATGACATCACGGACTCAGATACCAGTAAATGTGAATGCTCCCACCAAACATAGTACCGTTTTCAGTGACTTTTGCTTTTTCGTGTGGACGGGCAAAAAAGATTAAAAAACGCACCGTGAAGACGCGGACTTTTCAGAAAACAGAGAAAATAAATGTCCGTTTTCAAATAAAAACGGATACGTGTGGAACGCGCCTGCCTTTTAGTTCATTGTAAGGCAAGAGCATAAAGCAAGTTTCCACACTATCTCAAGTCAGCTTATCTTCTCTAAAAAAGTGGTCAAAAGGGGGTTGCAGTGACAATAAATTCGGGCGATAAGCATGACGATTGGGAAATTTATTGAATTCAAGTGTTGTTGGGTTAACTCTGGGAACCATTCTATAAAAGGTTACATCAGTATTAAAATCAGGTTTGGTTGTATCATGTTCGCATAAATAGGTGACCGGGATATGAGGGCACACTAAGCGCTAGCCTGCGAAAACATCCGTTTCTCCTCGCTCTTCGTCGCTGGGGACGTTTCGCGCGGAGGAACGTCTGCGACTCAACGACAGAAATTCCATACTGATGACGTAAAATCTGTCCGGAATCCGGTCAGAAGCGCTGGTTGGTCGACGCAGCAGTTTCATTATTTTAGCTATTGTTTATGAATGACAGACAAAAAACAAAAGGCCACAAAGGTCAAATGCAAACGGAAAGAATCTCTAACAAAACAGTCAATTTTTGTGGAATATAGACTTCTGTTGAAGAAGCATTTGAATTTTGCTGGAGTTCGTGGGCAGATCAACACAACACTTTACCAAAATCGACCAGAAGACACGCAAAATTAGACAAATTTATATTTGGAACCCCATGACTACCGGATTTATTATGTAAACATTAATTTGCGTCATCAGTATGGAATTTCTGTCGCTGAGTCGCAGACGTTCCTCCGCGCGAAACGTCCCCAGCGGCGAAGAGCGAGGAGAAACGGATGTTTTCGCAGGCTAACTAAGCGCCGGAATTAAAAATTTAAGCCCCCTCAAAATCTTTCGATCACCTCTCTCACTCGAAATTCGGAGTACCCCCTCCTTCCCTCAGGAATTAAAACAGCCTACCAGATAGTTCCTTGGACTCGCAGACGAGGAGGTGGTGAGGGGTAAGAGGGAAAGAGAATCTACCCTATCCTTAGTCACCCCGCCCACAGAGCCTTGTAAAAGTCGTTTTCTTATATGGATGTTTTACTTCCCATTGATATTACAAAATTGAATGGATCATTTTCAATGCGACCATCTCGTAGGTCATTGGGTAAACATGATAATGGCGATCGTGAAAGAAACCATACTCCTCGCCACCAAACTGCAGCCGCCTCACAAAATCCATTTATGCAGGATTAAGCGCTATTATAAAGACTAACCTTGCTTTGTCTTTCTCCAGCAGTCGAGGTCTTTACTGAGTGAAGTTATGTCTTCTGCCATATAGTTCTCTCTCAACCTTTGTTGCAATATTGTGTTCAGTTGTCCGTCATCCCCCCTCCAAGACATCACAACTTGGTTGATCAGCTCCTCTGGCATCTCAAGCACGCGTGCAATCGGCACAGTGTTAAGAATTTCTCCATGAACCTTTAAAAGGTTTCTTACGTAGCCGCAAAGATCTGCGAGGATTTCATTTCTGCTTGTTAGAAAACAGCAACGGAAACGAGTGATCCTAATTACCCATATTTATCTATTACGAGTAAAACAAGAGAAAACAATGGGGCAGAGAGGAATCTTAGGGCGTTGGCCAGGACATGTCAATTTCCCTGGAGTTAGTTTTAGAGGTTGAAATTAAACGGAAGTCTAATTCCTGGGACGTTCGCGCATCTTAATCGATTGTTTGAGCAGCAAGTCCAAGCGCGACCGTCTCAAAGCAAACAATGAAGATATTGTAACGGCAACAGACCAAAGGAGCATATCCCGTTATTTTCTCCTGACACCACTGAAGAAAAGTTTGTGGACCTCTCCAGAAACCAACTTCCAATTAATTTCAAGCATTTAATCGGTCTAAAAATAACTTTGGTAAAATTCACATATCAGCGGTGACCCCGCCACACGGCCTCACTTGAGACATTGGCAACCTGCTTGGCGGGCGTTTGATAGGTAAGGAAGAATTGGGGAGAGCCAATTAAGGAGCGCCAGAACGCCAGATTTCTGAACATGCACTACAAAGGGTAACCTCAAAAACGTTCTTTTGGAGGACAAAGTAACGTAAAAAACAAGAAAAAAAAGTAATCTCGTTTAACCTACCAACTTCGCAGAATTTCCTCTCACTAATGTGGCCAAACGCCCCCTTAACAGTGATTGTTCCACAAGCAATCCTAACATCTTTCATACTTCTTTCCAGGGAAAGTGTAACGGCGTAACCCGTGTTCCACCAGATATAAGAATCTACCTTGAAATCACTGGTTATTTCATGCTGTCTGCCAGCCAGGTTATAGTCTTCCCCAAAGCAGACTGAGATATGAAGACTTTCATTGTTGTAGATGCCAGTTTCTTGATGTCCATTGATATGACGTACATGCAGCTTTCGAAACCCCTTATTTCTTAATTCCTTCATAGCCGAGGTTTCTTGCTCCTCATAGAACTGTTCATGGTAGACATCTTGCCTCACGAACAACAAGGCAAGCTCGTCGCTTTTTGGAGACTTGTCTTTAAGCCACACTGATAAGGTGTAGTGGAATGACATTAAGTTAAACCTAGTTAGCAAGTGAAGCTGAGTGAATCTCACCACAGTTAATAAGATAGCAGTGAGTGAGAAATGTTCCAGTTTAATCTGCACTTTAGCATTTGGCTTATCAAGCGTCGTGGCCACCGAGTTAGGAGTGACATCTTCCCAGGTGATCATTCCACTGCGTTCCTCCCTCCCATTCAAAATAACAATATCATTGCAAGTAAATTCGCCTATTTCAAATTTCACGGTCAGTGTGGCAGGTTTCTTGAACAAGAGACCGTCCGGTTGAAGGCGAATGACAGGTGCACCAAATATGACGTCATTTTCAAGACTGTTTTGAACAATAAGGCCACAGTATCTGGAAGGATCCTCTAACGAAATGCTTACAGACACAGGATTTTCTACTGCTCCAGGAGGGAAAACCAGTTTGATATTCTCCTCAGTGACAACACCGCCCGTACTAGAAATTACGTTGATCATTCCCTGCGTCGGACTTCTGTGTATGCATGTGTTAGTCCTCTGTAAACTTTCCCCGGTACTCACTGGAGCGGAGTCGATTTCTGTGATTAAGAATAGGCAATAGGCCGAGGTTAGCTCCAAAGAAACTTCATGTATGGTGTTGAGATTAATTTGACAAAGTTAAATATGGTTTCCATTCTCTGATATATAGTGCTGGTAAGCTTTAGATTAATCAACTAATTCCATCAGGGCTTCGCCCACAATTCAAAGCTTTAAATCCGCCAGCAGGGGTCTGGACTTCTTCACTGACCGCTGTTCCTTTTTTTTAATTAGAATAAGTACTTAGAATTATAAATTAATAATGGTAATAATAATAATTGTCATTGGACTAGTTTTATTATTATTATTATTATTATTATTTTCCTTTCCTTTTCTCTCGGAGATATTAGCACGTTACATTTGCTATCTTAATTTCGAGGTAAAATAAAGTTTATTGTGTTTCATTGTGTAGTATTGTATTGACAAAGATAGAAGTCAACGGTAGCCAAATAATTTTGAAAAATTACGCAAGTAGTAGAGGTATACCTGTCCTTACAAGGTGACAATAAGCTATTAACAAATAACAAAAATAGCTGATAGAAGCCTGAAAAAAGATAATTAAATAGTCTACACTGTATATGCATATACAGTCACAGCCCAAAGCTCTCGATCGACCAAACAGCGCACAAGAAATCACTCCCAATCATCGTAAAACAGCTAAAAATATAGTTATCAGCAAGTATAATCGAATCAAAGGTTCTAGCTTTAAAAAGAAACACTCGAAAGGTTCAAGCAGTTAAAAGATAATGTGTAATTTTGGACCGTACCTCCTGATTATTTTGGGGTTACGTCACGAAACAGCTTTTGCGGTAGAAGTAAGTATGTTGGTAGTCTGGTATCAAAACGTTTAGTTATCCATATAACATTACTATGACATTACTACGTTTAATTTTATCAGAGCTTACAATAAAACTCTTCAATTAGAACGTTCTAGTGCTTAAAAAATGATCTACTGCATGATCATGAATTTAAGGTGGCTCGACTGGATTTTTTTTGGGGGGATACCTCCCAAGTTTGAGAATTAACTACGTCGCCATGAGTGTCGGAAAAGAAATCCGATAAGCGTCATTTGATTACTATTAACTTTATGAACATTAATTAGAAACATATGACTACATCACAACAACTTTGTAACGAATAAGAATAGTCTCGATATTTCACAAATTGTGACCAGAGTTCTTAGTGAATTCACTGAACCAAATAAGGACAAAGAACGTATTATTTTGCAATAATAGCTTCATTTAGGTGCATTACAATATTGTGAGCTCGGAAAATTACTGTACAAGTGAATACTGGAGATAGATAGATAGATAGATAGTTTATTACTAACCGATTCGCAACTAAAAGTTGAATTATACGATTATTTACAAAAAATTGAATATTGATAATTACATTAAAAAGACTACAAGTGATTCAAAACAGCAAATAAGGACACTATATATATGTTCTAAAAATATATATATATAGAAGAGGTTCAAAAAATCTACTAAAACCGTTCAAGCCTTAAGGGCGTTAAAGGTAATAAAACTACTACGAAACCTGTTCGTCTTAAAAGCTGGCTTAAACGTCCGCATATTTCTTAGGTGAAAGGTACATGTGTTGCGAGCAGGAAGAAGTTCATGGAGCTTGTTCTGTTCGTTCTGTTCATTCTTAAATAGTTTATCAACTAGTTCTTGGCGGCGGTCTGGAAAATTACTGTCTCGTGTGGTAGAAAACTTCTGTAAACGTAGGATTGGGTGTGAGTTCGCCGGTCTCTGATCGTTGAACGTGATTGTATTAGATTGTTGGATCTAGATTGTAATAAACCGTTTGTATTCGAAAAGTATGCAGTCCTCTTGATTGTTGAGTGTACCAGCGTACGGGGTCGTAAGAAATCCCCGACAATGAGTAAAGATAAGGGAAAAAAATTACCACAACTGTATTATATAAACATGAAAATTTCTTATGAGTGTGGGTTTTATTGTAATCGGAGTCGCCATGGCAACGTAACGACGCCATTACGTTTTTTATCTATCTTTGTGTTTCTCGGTACCAAGTTTTTTTTTTTAAGAAATCGCCTAAGGGAGTTTGTATTTACCATAATTGCCTCAATTATGGCAAAGTTTGAACAAATTCTATGAGAGCGTTTTCGAGATATTTTGCAACGAAGTTTTAAGCATCATAAAAGCAGTGAAATAGCATACTACTAAAATTTTATATTTTCTTATCTGAAACTATACCTTATTACAATAACTTCTGCGAAAAAATTTTGCGGTTTGAACAAAACGCGATTTTTTTACCAATTTTTTAAGTCTACATTTTTGCGGTACAACCGCGCCGCTGATCATGCAAACTAGCAGGCTCACATATGACGTCATGTGACATAAATTAAGGAACTCGTATTCACCAGCTGTACACAAAAAAGATAAATTACAAGTAAGGATTGAATCACAATGTCTTCCTAAGAAGAAAGTTTTTCTGAAAAAGAAAAATCTCTCAGAACTCTTAATGTTTTCTTGTCGATAAGGTCACGTGTTCCTTAAAGTACGTCATAGTCCGAGAGAAGACTAAGACGAATGGTGTGCCAAAATGGCGGCAAATTTGAACGTTTTTAAAAAATTCTAAAACAATCGTCTTTGGTTCAAATCGCAAAATGTTTTCGCAGAAGTTATTTTGATAAGGTGTAGTTTCAGATAAGAAAATAAAAAAATTTAGGTGATGGGCACTAGCGTTGGAAGCGCGGCTTCATCTAATAGTGGTTTAATTCCATTGAAAACTGCGTACAAAAAAAGAGGAGAATTGCTCCGGGCAATCGCGAGTAAGAAGAATTTTATTAACTTGCATTCAGCTGCTTTTTTTACAGTTTTTGCACGTAATTTAGTCCATGCGAAAAATTTCGCATTTTTTAAAAAACCGCTCCATAATTTTTTTTATAAATTTGACAATCCCGAGATCAATCGTCTATAAATATACCCTGCACGTTTTAAGACCGTTGAAAATAGAGAAGGCTTTTAAATAGGGCCTCAAATATAACAAATTTCCCCCCCAGATTTTGTGTTTACAAGTGAGCGTCCTCGTTTCTCGGATGGATATTTTCTTAGCAATTTTCTTAGCAATGGGGGCTCCCCTCGCGCGCGTTTCGCACGCGCGGAGAGCTTCGCCTATAATAGCGAGTTTACTCAACAGGAAGGCAGAAGAGGAGGCCGGCAAAACGATTGTGTGTGACAAACGTGACAGGGCCATTATTTGCATGTTCTGTCGTGGTCTTCACTAAATGTAAATGTTTTCTGGTGTTTTACAAAAAGATCTGCTTAAAGGAGGATGAGGTTTGAGGTAAATTGGTTTCAAACAAAACTGATTATTGTCACGCTTGTCAGACAAGGTGTGCAGTCTTCTTTCCTCTCCCGTCCTATAGCGTAAGTTCACTAATAACAATTGCAGAGACAGCAACAAAAATAAGCAACCCTTGGTCAACTTGTGGGAACAATGTTCTTTCAGCTGACTTGAGTTAAGAAAATGTGGTAATCTTATGCTTTAAACCTAAACAGTTGCGTTTCGTTTAAAAACATCATTATTTCTCTCTTTCTGTAACACAACACATAGCAAAAAACTGCCAGTAGACTCACTATTCTACATCTTTTAATTTGAGCTTGGGTGGTCTGTGGAATAACTCTAAACTTCGGTACATAAAAAGAGCATCCGCTGCTTGCTATAAATTGCTACCTCTTCTTTGTGCACCGTAAACTGTCATCTTCGCCCTGTCGCCTACACTTTCCTGGCCTTTGCCAGTCGCAACAACTGAATATTTCCCAGTTGCTAAAAAAGAGAGCCGGATTAGAGGATAGGAGTAATGCTGAGGAACCTGTGGCTAAAAAATTTTTTTTCTAGAAATTGGTCTTATTTGAGATGGCCCAAACTTACCTATATGCGTGTTGTTTATGTTTTTGAATTGCGTTTTTTAGCAGGAACGATCCATCCGTTTGTTATAATTTTGGGGTCGTTAATAAAGAATAGAAGAACTTTTTAGAAAACGTTATTTATTTTCTGTAGGCATAAACACGTTTGAGATATCGGGCATATATTTAAAACTGCATTTCAACAAAAATGTACATACTTTCAAAATCCTACGACAGAGTTTTCCCTTACTTCAGCAGATAAGCCTCATAGCTCTCTCTAGTTTTATATCCGACGAGTTTGAGGTCAATCGTGACCTTACAACTCGTTGCACAAAATGCTGGTCTATTTTAACCTCAAAATGCTACGGACTATCTCCTATCTAAAAGTGTATTCTTACCAAATGCTTTATTTCAAGAAACTGAGTAATCAGAAACCTACGGTGACTCTCGGGTACCGCGTCCATCTTCAGAATGATATCAGGAAACTGTTCAATTTCGTGTGTGTTTTTTACGGTCTCTCTCTCTTCAAAACGTCCCTATTTTGTACGATGCATGCGACGGTCCATTGATTAATTAAATCTCCCCAGTAAAAAGGCATAAGGACCCATGGGTCCAAATGTTTTTAGAAGATAATTTTTTTTTAGATAAACAATAGATTGCAATAGATTTACTCCATTGCTTCCTTCTTCCACTTGTTCTTCTCCAGATTTTACAATTTTCTTGTCATACTTGGGGTACTTAAAAACACAACTGATAAAAATAAGCTATTAATCACCTTTGCTTGTTGAATTACTCTTGTAACCAAGAGAAGCCAAAAGTTTGTTCCAGAAGTATTTCCTAGCATGTTCTGTTGTGTAGTCCAGATATGTGATGAATCGCAGTGTTGAAGGAATTTGACAGGGTCTGTACAAAATTGGAATTAGGATCATTTTTTTGGCTCCTAAGAAAATAAGATAAAAAGGTGTAAATAGCATAAAGTATTGTTAGCAGGTTACAAGACGATTACAGTGAAACACTGCACTGGTCTGTTTTGGCAACCATTTTATAATCCCTTAGTGTGATTTTAATTTCTTCTTGCAACTCAAAAGCACTTCTATTTGCATTTGTAAATCCATCTGAAAGTTTGCTTCAAACAAGTGACATCTTAATGTTAAGTGTTCCAGCGAGAAACTCATTAAATATTTGTTGAGGGCGACAAGAGAAGCCCGCAATCTTAGTCTCCAGGTTGTTATTACCCATGCGTCGCTTGTATGTAGCCAGCATTCGTTTGGAATGAATGAAATGTACAAAACGCAATTTGATCACGCGCGTTTCGACCTTCTGTGTCCTTTAATCTGATCACGCGTGATTTGACCATCTTTCAAAAACTACGCAAATCACAGCGTTGCAGCAAAAGCGTTTGGACCGCCGATCGTTGTCGCCCGCACTCCCTTTGGTTATTACTAGTTACTAGTCAAAGTTATCCTTTGGACCTTATTTCCTGTAACTGCCATCCAGAACATTGCAGTAGGAAGAGAAACATAATACAAAAAGGGAAGGATATAACAGAGCAGTGATGGGCCGGGAGCAATGGCAGGAGCAAGAAAATACCAATTCTCTTGCCTGCGATTTTCACCCCCTCTCCCGTAATTTCTTTTTCTCCATGGACCCGGTTGTTCGAAAGACTAGTTAAAGTAACCTCGGGTTTGTTAACTTGGGGTCAAAATTGCGTAGTTCGAAGGGACGCTCGCGATTAGCACCTCAAAATACGTTTAGTCGCTTACGTCCTAAAACGGTGACGGTGGAGGAAAAAATACGCAAACCAGAAAAAATAATTTGTGCGCCTCATAAATTGCTATTTTTTACCGAGAAAGTCGAAGAAAATTTACACATTTCGCAAAGTAAGTTGCGCACAAGTGTGACAAACCAAAGGAAAAAACATTTGGACCAAACAAACAGCGACAAAACGCTGTAGGCGTGGAACAGAGTAACCTGAAAGCTCCAGGCTCTATTTTCGTTTCGCTTCGTAAATGAATTAAATTCTGGAAGGAAAGGCGAAACGAAGAAAGACCACGGTCACGAAAGAGAGAATGTATGGAAACTGCTAAAATTGGGCCTGATCTCAGGTTAAGAAAAGAGAGAAGTCCGA